TCTGGTTCACTCTAGGACAATAAGGATTTCTTTTTCTTTCTTTCTTTCTTTCTTTCTTTCTTTCTTTTTTTTTTTTTTTGGTACCTGGTACAAATCCAGAGGTGCTTTACCACTGAGCTACATCCTCAGTCCTATTTGTTTGTGGTTTTTGGGAAGGGGGGTGGCTGGAGACTGAACTCAGGGGACACTCAACCACTGAGCCACATCTCCAGCCCTATTTTATATATATATATATATTTTTTTATCTAGAGACAGAGTCTCAGGGTTGCTTAGCACCTCCAAGTTGCTGAGGCTGGCTTTGAACTTGAGATCCTCTTGCCTCAGGCTCCCAAGCCTCTGGGATTACAGGCATGTGGCACCATGACCAGCTAGTCCTTTTTATTTTGCTTCTTGCTAAGTTGCTTAAGTCCTTTCCAAGTTGCTGAGGTCTCCAACTTGTGACACCCATGACTCAGCCTCTGGAGTCACTGAGATTATAAGCCAAGTACCACCACACCCGGCCTTTATCTTTTCTTTACCCTTTTAAAGAACAGGAATGCTGGAGGTTAAAACTCCCACCAAAAACTCCAAAGCATTAGGCTAGTTCCTGATGCATCAGGACAACTGTGGCTCTTGGCTCCAGAGGATGACTCAGGGAACCCAGCCAAAGGGGGTGCAATTACCAAGCTGGGCTCTGCTTCATTCTACCAGTTTTTAGCAGAAGCCAAGACAGGCAGGAGGAGGAAGCGATCTCTGACCTGACAGCATTCTTAATCAGAAACAGCAGAGATCTTTTTTCCCCCCCAAACCTTCATCTTGACTCACAGGAAAGATTCCTCCATTCAGCTCTACCGTCTTCAAGGTAGGTTCCTACTACAACAAGAACTTCCACAACTTCTTCATGGCCTGCTGAGTGCTATGGCAAGTCCTACAGAACATGAGAGGGTAGCCAGAACCATGGGTGGGGAACAGGTGTATTGTTCACAGCCAGGCTCCAGTTCAAGCCAGATGCCGTCTCTGTGATCTTGGACAAATCCCTTCAACTCTCTAGGCCTGAGTAGCCTCCTCTGCACACATCCTGAGCACCAACTGCATACCAGAATCATGTGTGAGGGGCAGCCAACATAGGCAAGCTGAGGCCAGTGTACCCTAAGCCTTCAAGTAAACATGAGTGCCAGAAGTGGCCAAAGAGCTGAAGACCAGAAACACCATTCAAGTACCAATAACTCCCTACCTGCATCTCCATCCCAGAATTTTCTACCAAACTCTAAGCCTCCTACCATCTCCTCTTGCATGTTAAGAAGATACTTCAAGGGACTGGGGTTGTGGCTCAGTGGTAAAGTGCTTGCCTAGCATGTGTGAGGCACTGGTTCAATCCTCAGCACCATATAAAATATAAATAAATAAAATAAAGGTATTGTGCCCATCTACAACTAAAATAAATTCTTTTAAAAAAAAGAAGAAGAAGACACTTCAGCATATTTCTCCCTATGCCGGCTCCCCTCCCCCACAAAAAAACCTGCCACAACCACAGCCATCTTTACTCCCAGATACTCTGTCCAAGGGTCTCAGAGCTGCCCCCAATTCATTTTCCCTTCATGACAGTACAGGCCTCCAGCAAGTCCTCTTGGATATTCTTTATAATATACCCAAGACCTGAACACTTCCCAGACTTCTGCCATCCACTGGACTATAGGCACCATCATCTCCCACATGGATGAGGCCAGTGACCTCCTTACCAATCTCCTACAGTTGCCCTGCCACATACCCAGCTAGAGGGACACTCCTAAACCTTGTCACTCAATTCAGACCAAGCCTCCCTGAGTTTCAAAGCCCTCCCCTGGCTCCTGATGTAGTAGACTCTTAAAGGCCCCATATCAGTCCACCAAGCTGGACTATGTGGTCTGTGACAAGGAAAGTCCAGTGAAAGTATTTAGCAATTTTATAGCCACTTGACATTGCTACAATATACAAATAATAACACAAAATCCTACAGCTGAAATGGACTGAGAATTTAAGGAATGTTTCCTACCAGTGTAATCACTTGGTAAGCACTGCAGTGGTTTAGTTGGAGAGGTCCCACCCTACTGTACTCCCTGCAGGCCTGAGGCCCGGGGCTCTATCCTGACCCAATCCACCACTCTCCCTTACTCAGCTTGTCTCCCTGGCTACCTTCTTGTTCTTCAAATACCCTGAGTACACTTCTGCCTCAAGGCTTTTGCACTGCTGCCCCTCTTCCCCAATGTTCTTCCACAAAGCTAACTCCTCCTCCTTTGATGCTTGTGCATACTGCAAACTATCTTCCCTGCTCCCCACAAAAACTTTAAAACATTCCCAGAGTTTTTTTACTGCTGTTTTGTTTGTTTGGGGTGTGTGTGTGTTTGTTTGCTTTTGCTATTTTCCAAGCATGCATCATCATGTAATAGGCTATTTAATTTATTTATGTTGTGTTTTCTTTTCCATTACCATGTAAGTGCCATAAGGAGCTGGGGGCTCTGCTCTGTGCTTGGCACATGGTGCCTGGCAGAATGGAAATGCAATAAACATTGCAATGGAAGAATGTTGGGGCCAGAGTGCAGGGTTGGCCAGCAGAAAGACAGAACACAAAGCCTTGTGTTCAAGTAAACCCGAGGTCTGAGGTGCTTCTGTGGGAAGACAAGGACCTGCACAGACTTGAGGAGTTGAATGGGCAGAGCTGAAGGACAATGACCGCAGTTTACCAGGGAAGGCTTTGTCTGCCACAGCAAAAGCTTAGAGATGATCCTGCAGGGAACCTAGCATGTAAAAGGGCATCTGGCCCCAGGGCCAGAATAGTATTTATTTATTTGTTTGCTTGTTTGCTTATTTTTGGTACTGGGGACTAAACTTAGAGCATTTTACACTGAGTTTCATCCCCAGTCCTTTTTTTCTTTTTCCTTTTTTGAGACAGGGTCTCATTAAGTTGCTGAGATTGGCCTCAAACTTTCAATCCTCTTGTCTCAGCCTCCCAAGCTCCTGGCTTTATAGGCATGCACAACCATACAAGCTCAGAGCATCATTTATAAAAATGAGGGATGGATTAGGGGGGAGAGGGGTAAGGAAACCACTTAGAAGGCTACACTGGACTGAGGCCAAGGAATGAGATTGAGGGACAGAATTTGAGAGATTTCCAAGGTCAGATCTACAAATGGGTGAGGGCAGTGAAGGACAGGGAGGATGAAATGAGATCTGGCTAAAGAAAGCTGTCCTCAAACACCATCACATCACCGTCCATTAGGGTAACAATCCAAGGCTTGAGAGGCCTTCCAGCTGTGGCTGTAGTACAAGGTGGGCTTCTCAGCAATCTGCCTCCTCTGCTCCTATACCCCTCACAAATCCCTCTCCAGAGTCAAAGCCCCTGTTTTTCATAAGACCTTTTTCTGAATAGCTTGTATTACTCTGACTTCTCCACTGCTAGACTTCAAGTGGATGTGCTCCAAGGAAATTCATAAGTACACATATCTTAAGCACCTACCTTACTCTCAATACTTTAGGAGGCTCCAAAAGAGAACAGAAAAGAAACATGGGACAAGGCCCCATCCCCCACCCGTGACAAGGTAGGTGAGAGATGTGGACAGAACCAAACAGTTAAGGATGGAATGCAATTCCACGTAACATTTTTTGCCCAAAATTCATCTGGTACATGAAAAAGAAAAACATACTCATTTTTATCTTTAATTCATACCAGAGATGAAGAAGAGGTGAAATCCCATGGACTATATACCTTGAGCAATTCACCAGATTTGGGGGGTGACTATCCAAACACAGGGAACCACACAGGCAGAAGGCCTGATCTTAGTATGCAAATGTCCCAAGAAAGCCAGCTGAACAAGGGGAAAGCCAGAGGGCAGCTGAACCAAAAACTAATCATCAGGGCTCAAAACAGACCTTATTGATTATTGAATGGGTAGAACATAGAAAATCAGAGGAGCTCCATGGAGTTCTGCAGGAATCTGCCAGAACAGTCCCTTAATCAATAAGGAAGAAATGGACCTATAACCCATGGGCCTTTGGGTAACTCTTCAAAACAAGCTTTGATCCTGACATTCTTGATGGTACAAACCTAGTCCTCCTTACATTGTCTAACATCATTTTAAGAGAAGCCAAAATCATGGCAAAGCCAAACTCCTATATAAACTGTTAGGGGAAGCCAGGGGCATGAAGGAAAACATTCCAGAATTAAATATAGTGATCACACAATCCAAATCAAACAAGCTATTGCATTAATGAGGCATGAAGGAACAGTAACTATCTCCAGGGCTAAATAAAGCATGGCCACCTTATCAGGGAAGGTGCATAAAGGCTTGCTATCGGTACCCTCTACTAAGTAGAAGAGATAATTTTTTTTTTCCAAGTGGGAACCCCCGGCGGGAGTAAAGGGAGCTCAGACAGAGCATTTTCTTGTGGATAACAATGCAAATCTCTTTCCAGTTTGACCCACAACAGGGTGAGCTCTGACCAGGATACATTATTAATTAATCAAAAGAGAAGCCCCATTTTTAGTTACCCATTGAATTCAGTATCTTCAAATACCTTGACCTAGAATTGACAGTACAGCTAACTCTCTGTTTACCATGATAATGGGGATTTCAGGAATGACAACAGTTCACTGGGAAACAAAAACAAGCCCACTGGATGCTTAGCAAGGCATCTTTTAGCACATTATAGATGCTTCCAATACCATCAAGTGAGGATCTGGTATTTGCTCAGCATTGTGAGGTTTAAATCATACATTTCCACATCAATAAACCAAGTGGTTTGATCCACCACTACTAGTGGCCATCCAGTTTGTCAGAGTGTGGGGCGCAGGAAGAACAGGAGCCATCACCCCATGCCTACCCCTCCTAAGTGAGTGACATGTGAGCAGATGAGGTGGAGCATGAGCTCCTGAGGAGACAGGCAGGACAGGAGTCAGGAGAGAGTTGGCTGTACTGGATCAACAAGCACCCCCCAGCAAGCCGCCCGGCATTTCTAGGAAGGAGAAAAGCAAACCGCCGTCCCACCTCGGGCTGCGCGGTCACAAGTGAGGCAGGGCTGGGACCAGTCGCCATTTGGGCGGGAGGCCAGCCCCAGGTGCGGCAGGAAAGGGTGGCGCTGGCTCAGTGGCTGCAGCTCCTCACTCTGACCCAGCGGGGCCCCTGTGCGGTGCTGGGGGCACAGCGAGGCCTCAGGCGCTGTTGGGCAGGGACACACACACATACACACAGAGAGAGACACACCATTAGAGGATGCGCAGCAGCCCTGCAGGGGGTGTAAGACAAGACCATCCAGGGTCCCAATCACCACACAGTGGTCCCCTCTGCTCAGAAGCTGTGAAGAGCCCACTGACCACATTCTAACCCTAAATATGTAGCTGAAGCTCAAGGTTTGAGGAAACAGGAAAAATTTAGACCTGGAACATTAGTTTGGTAGGGCCTGTGGTTGAAGACCCAGGGTTTAGTTTAAGGAAAGGCCCAATAAAATGACCAGGCTCCTATGGTGCCATCTCACCCCTGCCCCTGGAATGTTCCACAAACTGTTCATTAAACGTGACACTGTTTCAGCTCTGTGCTTTGTATCCTTTCGCTTCTTAAGAATACTGGCTGTGAGAGGCACAGAAAAGAAGAGGGCCATTGCCCCTCGGTCATGTATCTCAACCACAACCTCTTTTGACAGAGGAAGCCAAAGGACTTTCATTTTATTTATTTATTTTTGTATATATGTGCAAATTTAACCCGAAAGGAAACCTCTGCAGATTATAAACCATTTATTTTCTAGTGGTTTCATGAAGGTTACAACCATTGCTTAAACAGAATAGTTTAAACCAAGAGAAAATGACAATAACTAAAAATGGGACAAGAAAACTCTAACTGCTCCAAGTTTGATAATAACTTAGAATTCCTAGAGGCAGAAAAATCTGACTTTGACATGCAAATTTCTCATTTGACACATTTCTCAAAATGCTGTGGTAACGGACAAAGTCAAATTGAAACCTGCAAAAGCAGGAAATGTTGGCAAGTGGTCTGATGACAGAACCACTGACTAAGCAAGAGTTGACCGGCTTGCCAAACTACAAATAACTCTTCAAAAAAAAATGTTTACTGTTATGCTGATATAGTGTTACTAACTCCAGAAAGCATGGGCATGAAAATCTGCATTTTTGTTTTTGTAGTCAGAAAATACAATTTCTGCATTCCCCCAGCTCTATACCTCCCTATCCTTATATAAAAGCCACCAATGCCAACTATCTCAATGTGGGGTTCGCACCATGGCCACAGAGCACTGAGAGGGTGGAGAAGGGGCACTATTCCTAAGACCTTGGCCAGGATGCCAAACGTGGTTCTGGACATTAGCTTCTAACAGGCCTTAAATTCTACTTCTGCTCCCTGAAATCACTTCCAAACACAGGACAAAGACCCAAAGTGAACTGACATGCAAAACCAGAAAAAAGACCAGCCCTATCCAGTGCAGAGCCAACCACACAACCAAATCACAGAGCACTCCTTTTGCATGTTTGGAAAAGAGGCTTTGCTCACACTAACAACCTGTAGAGGTTTTTTCACAATTTTCCCTCTCTACCCGAAACAGAAACACCTAATTTCCATGCTCTGTGATGCTGAAGTAGAATACACTGAGCCACTCAAGAGACCTACAGTTCAGTCAACAGAAAAAAAAATTTAATACCAGACTAAGGAAACAAGATTACCAAAAAAGAGCATTCATTTCCTCCTAGTTATCAATCAGCTCCCCATTACTTGACTAGTGGTAGGCAATTCCTATGCTGGCAAACCTTCTCAGAAGAAAAAGCTAATGAGACCTGCCTTGGTGACCACCTTCTCCTGAGAACCCAGGAAGCCACAGGAGCCACCCTGCCCAGATGCACAGAATGAAACCCACAGAGCAGCCAAGGGACTGAAAGCCCTTGTGTGAGCACAACTCAACCCAGACTAGGGCACTGTTGTCTAGTATGCAAAAGCTGAGAACTGAGGATAGAATCAAGTCCTAGAGTGGCTGCCACATCCTCAGCCCCGGGCAACTCAGGCTACCTGCTGCCCTGGGTACTGCATCTATATAAGGTGCCCATTTGAGTCAGGGTAGGAAGGGCTTAGATTACTCACAGCCATGATAGGAGGCCGGTGACCCCCCAGCCTTGCCATACTCCTGCTCTGAGTAGCTGGTGGAGAGATTGGGCTGGCTGGAGCCGCGGCCAAAGGTGATCTGGTTGCTGCCCATGCCAGTGGCCACCTGGGCCATGCGCTCTTTGGTTTTGAGAGCCTGGGCCCTCTCAGCCTTCAGTCGCTCATCATCCTTGAGAAGGGCCACCAGCTGCTTAGACTTTTCACGCACATTGATGCCCTGGTCCTTGCCGTCCCGGTCAATATACTGGAAGTCCTTCAAGGTCTGGATGGCAAAGATGTTCTCACGGCACTGCTGGGCCACACGCTCAGAGCCTGTCTTAATGAGGTAGTCCAGCAGGGTCAGCGCCTTATACACGTGCCTCCAGTTCTTGCCATGGTCATTGAGCCGTTTCCACACCATACTCATGATCTCTGAGAAGGCAACCACGTTATAAGTCAGGTCAGCAATCTCGGTCATCAGAGAGCTGGATGGTCCCCATGGGTCATTGGAGGTGGCTTCCCGGACTTTGATTTCAGCCTCTGAGTAATTGTTCACAATGTTTTTCATCTGCCGTCTGATAGATGAAGTCGTCATTTTTATTTTCTATGTTACAAATTTAAAGCCCTTCAAAGAGAAACTTTCCTGTTCTCTCTGTAAGTCCACACCCTATGAAGGTCCAGTTTCCGTAACTGAGCTGGAGCAAGAGCCCGGAACAGTCATTTCCTTCTCTGGAGCCTCAGGTCCAAGAAGCTGGAAGCCATGACCTAGAGAGACAGAAAAAGCACCCTGTGACGGTGATCTGGTTGCTGATATGAGCACCCTGTGACGGTGGGAGATCCTTGCTCAGACACTTTTGTAAACTGCAGGTATTAGGTAAGAATGGGCAGGCTGTGTGTATAGTCAACATATTCTTGCCTCCTTATGATGTGAGAGTCCATTTTGCTTTCAAAACTAAGATAAAATCAATAGTGCCAGTAATAATAAGTAAAATTGATAATGTCAGCTAATAATAAGTAAAATCTAAACTCAAGTAAACATTGTAACTATTGTTTCATTTCCAAGAAAGTCTTCCACTAAAATGGCTATTTGGTGGGTTCTACTTTCACTGCTGGGTACTGTGAAAGAATCAGGATGCTAGGGAAATTGGTCCTGATATATTTATTTTATATTTTACACTGGGGCTTTAATACAGGGCCTCACACTCTACCACTGAGTTATACCCCAAGCTCAATCCTGATAGTTTTAAAATTATATGTAGCCTCTCAATTTAGGGCTATCTTAATCCAAAATGCTCGTTTGTATCTCTAAAACTGCTGGACATTTGGCCTTGGTCCCCTGGCCTTCTTTCTACCTAGGGGAATCTCCTCAAGAGCCTTCTTTTCTGACATTCCCTGCTCGAGAACTAATGAGAGTTCTCTCTGGTCTTCTAGAGCAAGGATGACAACCAAATTTCCCTCCGCCACTTTCAAGACCCTAGGCATCTGACCCAGCTAACAGAGCCTTAAAACTTCTTAGTTGGAGCCCAACCCCCTCAACTCAATAGAGGAGAAAACTGAGGCCCAGAGATATGCATTCATGAACTCCAAACACATCCATCCCCTCTTCCTCCAGATGAGAAACACTTACGGAGTTAAAGCCGGGTCCACATCTCCGACACAAGGCTCTGGTCCTCAAGTTTGGTGACCCCCATCTGCCTCGTTCACAGTGAGTACCCAGCACCTAGCAAGCACTGTGCCCAACACGAAATAACACTGTTGAATAAATAATATTAGAGATTAGAAAGTGTCCTTATCCTCAAGAAGGCCATAATCCTGCAGAGAATAAAGGTTCCTCATCTATAAAATGAGGATTCTAAGGCCCAGAAGACATCAGAGATGGCCACAGATTAAGCAGAACCGCTGGAGACTAGACAGAAAGTGAGAGGCTCCAACCGTCACTACCACTTGCTTGGCCATTTGGGTTCCTTCAGGCCAGGATCTCTGTCTTGCTTATCAAGCTTGTGAAAACTACTGTCTCATAAATAATCTGTTTCTATAACAAAAAAAAAGAGAAAAAGAAAATCACTGTCAACTGTCTGGCAGAAAAAGTCACCCAGCTGGGCCAGCATCCTTCTCTAGATATATCCCCTGTGTAGTCCAGGACCTGCCACCTCCTTTTGAAATGGCCTTTCCTCTCCACCATGCTGCTGTGCTATTTCTACTAGAGAAACAAAGACAGTCTCAGTTTCCTCATCTAAAGCTCAGATGGGCAATGAACCTATCAAAATAAACAAGTAAACAAAAGGATGGCACAGGAAATATAATAGCCACTTTTGATATCACCACACAAGAAAGGGACAGCTCACAAAGTTTCATCCACCATCTCCTGACCTCAAGCACGCTCAGGATTCTGTCTCTGACTCTGTCTCTGCCTCTGTCTATGGCCACAGAAGTGGCTTTGGTTGAAGGCAGGCATGTTCTGCCTCTCTGCCCACTTGGCCAGCTCTTGTGAATCCTCCAAAGCCTATCAGAGGACCAGAGATAAAAATATTTTTTTCATAGTGACCTGCCTATTTACTTTAAGTAGGCTTTTCATTCATAGGGCAACATATACTGCTGACAGAAATGGGACAGGTCTGACAAAGGGAAAAAGAACACTCTGATTTATAGTGAGTATCTCCCAGCTTACAGAGTACATATTGTGTTGATGAGTATGGTAACACATACCTGTAATTCCAGCAACTGGAGAGGCTGAGGCAGGAGGATGGCTAATTTGAAGCCAGCCTCAGCAACTTAACAAGATCCTGTCTCAAAATAAAAATTAAAAGGACTGGGAATGTAGTTCAGTGGTAAAATGTCCCTGCCCCTAGGTTCAGTCCCCAGTATCAAACAAAAGGGGTGGGGGGAGGGGTGATAGCTATGTGTCAAAATCAGAAGTAATGTTCATAGGCACTTATAGGGGCCCTACTATATGCAAGGGACCCTAACACTTCTCAGCTGGACAGGATGACTGCCTCCACTCCAAGAGAAGTGGGCCAAGCTGGGATTCTCCCTTGCAGAGGCCTCAACACCTCTCTCCATAATTCAATTAAGCACTAGAGCAAATAATGTTGGTAAAAGACCTTGAATGGTTGAGAATATCTTAGGAAAAAAGAATACTTCCCCAAGGGAGAAACATACCCTGGGTTCTGCTACCTCCTCTAGTCCCACCATCTTACAGAGTGCCACGTGGCAGAAGTCTAACAGCTGGGCCCAGCATCCTCTGGCACACTGGGGTAAACTGTGAAGCCCCATCAGGGCTTCCACTGGGCCTAGTAAGCCTGTGACAAAGAAAAGACAGTGACTCCTGTGAGCAAGAGCCAGAGTGCCTCTGTTTCTTTGACACTGACCAGGGAAGGAAAGTTGAACAATTCAGATGTCAGGTCTGTTGACCAAGGTGGGGGTCTTTCTTTAACAGGCTCAAATTGCACAGACACCTGTTGATGGTCTCTGAAATATTCAAGCTTCCTAAGGAAAAAGCTAATAAAATATGCACTGCAGTCTGAAAAATAAAGACCATATAATTGACATAACTTTCTGCTATCTTCTTAAAGCTTATAGAAAGAGCAGCCTTCAGAATTAGCAGATGCCAAGAAGGGAGAGATCTGGGGATAAGAAATGCCCACTAATTGAAAAGACACCAGAGGTGCCTCAGGGACCGTGTTTCCAGGTCAACAGGGCTATGCACCTTTATCCAAGCAAGATGCTGCAAACTGAAACTTGCAATTCCAACTTAGGGTGACCTAAGCCAAGCTGCAGGACCTTGGCAATGACCACAGGCACAGAACACCTGAACCTCCATGACTTCAGCAAACTGAGCCATGTACACCCCAGACTCTAATTTTCCCATTTCAAACTTCTCCTCTTCAACCCCAGGACTGGATTGTAAATACTTAGTGGTTCTTCTTCAGCAAATATCTGCCAAGACACCTTCCCAAAAGCAAGCTCCCACCCTCCAACACGTGTTCCTCTACCTCCCAAGGACATATCCTATTATTCCAAAACCTGAGTTTTGGGTTTTGTTCTCTCTTCTCAATAGTTTGCTTGCTCTACTTTCCAAACTTTCCTTCCCAGTTTGCCAGTTCTTCCATTTCCAGCCTGCTGAGCACATGCAAAAGCCACTAGAACAGGAATTTGTTATCTCCTGGGCTCCTTACTTGGTTTAAACCTAGGAATTATGACCAGTTCACAAATGTGAACCACATCTTCAGGACTCCAGGCCAGATATGGGGAAGACAGAGGGACAAGGAGGAGTTGTGAAAATGAGAGAAAAATAAACTTTGTTAAAAATTCACATCAAAGAGAACTCCCCCACTAAAAGGTGGGAGGACTTTTTACAAATTACATACTGACAAGTAAAAGGACAAAGTCATTGTGTGAATTTGTACAATTCTGTTATACATACATACATTTATTTATGGTACCAAGGACTGAATTCAGGGGCACTCTAATACTGCACTATATTCCCAGTCCTGTTTATTTTTTTATTTTGAGACAAGGCCTCATTAAGTTGCCCAGGCTAGCCTCAAACTTGTGATCCTCCTGCCTATGACTTCCAAGTAGCTGGGATTACAGGTGTGTGCCACCATACCAGGCTGAGATAGCCACTCTTAATCACTGTGAGTCAATAAAATTCCAACCAAAAGCAAAGAAACTGAACATCCTAGCTGGCCTGGGGATGTTGCAGGGGGAGATAAGTTAGAATCTGGCCCAGAGCTGGTGGTAAAGATCACTGGCAGAGTGTTTGCCTGGTGTATTGGGTGGCCCTGCATTTAATTCCTAGCACCACAAACAAACAAAAAGAATGATTTGTTAGCCTTTTTGGAAGTCCTTGAGAGTTTTAAGGACTCCACCATCAAAAGCCACAATATTTTCGGTATGGAAAGAAACACTCATTTCTCTACATTTTGTCTCCAGAACTAAAAACCTTCTTCTAAGCCAAATATTTAATTTTCAGCCTGGAAATGGAATCTACTGGTTTTACCTGTGTAACAACCATCTCCAATTGTCTTGGAAAGGGTGCCTCAGTCATTCTCAGGGATTGGCCAGAAGGAGGCTCTGGTCAATTAAAGCACCAAAGTCCCCCAGCCTGGTAGTATATTGACAATCCAAATTAGGCCACCTGGAACCCTCTCTGGATGGGACCTGAGACAAATGGGAAGCCAGGAGGTTGCTAAGCTGCTAGAAGCCACCACAAGGCCAGGGTCAGAGGTTACCTAAAACTGAAATAAGTACAGGAGAAAGCAAGAAGTGGGTGAAAGAAAGGGTGAAAGACATCGCATCATTTGTACCTCTAGGTTCATCTATATCTGAAGCCATTCCTCCCTTCTCATGTAACTGAGAAGTCATTTGTAACTTTCAGTGGGGTTTTTGTCACTTGCAACTGCATGTCCTATGCAACAAGTGCTTGAGAGGACAAGAGGAGGAAAGCCAGCAACAGCCAAAGAGAGCATAGTTGTTCCTTCAGCTCCCAGTGGGCCTCAAGCAGAAGTGTAAAGACAATGCCAGGCTCCCCCGCCGCAGACTGACATAGAGGGCTGTGTATTCCCAGGGATTCTCAGCACTCCCCAGTGATGAAGCATCCCCAAAGTCTGGGATCATCTACTTTTTCACGAGAGCAATGTATGATGGGAACCATAAAGTAACTGAATTAAACAACTAATAGGGGAATAACAACCCAAGGCTGATATGCCCCTGGAGGCAAGAAGTCTATAAAAATGTGCTCCAAGGACATGTAGAGTTGAATAGGGAAATTCCTTTCAAATCTGGTACTCCTGATCATGAGGGACAGATGCTTCTTGGTTCTGAGTCACCCAGGTAGGACACTGTCAAAACATGGTGACTTCACCTGTGCTTCCTAAGAAAATTATGGGCAGTTACTTTTCAGTTACTTTATCAAGGATAAAGCCCTGCTGTGAAGAATAGCAACATCTGTCCCTCAATACCCTCTCCTAAACCTAACAGTCACAGGACTCAACAGTGACTGTAGCAAATCAGTTCCAATCAATACATATGATTGAGTGGATTGACTGAACATCCCACATCAGATGGCAGCTCCTATGACTTCACACATACTTCATCCTTCTAAAAGCAGATGACAGAGTGAGCTTGAGAACGGACATGTCCATGTTTCCCCAGTGTCACACCTATATAGTCCACAGCCCATATTTATCAGAACCCCCTAGGAGACTGTTTGAAAATCCAGAAATAGAAAAGAGGTAGAACCAAGAGGACGCTGCATTCTTAACAAGCTCCCCGGATGATTTTAGGCATACTGAAGCGGGGCCAGGGGTCCGAGGTGTGATGCACAGGAACCGGAAATGTGGGTGACACTCTGCAATCCTTGATTAACTGGCTCTGTTTCCCTTTATGTGCCATCTATGAGAAAGCAAACACTTCCATCTTCCTCCTGGGGAAAAGGGTACAAGGCCCTTTACAAGGAGGCCCAGTCAGGGGTAGCTGAGACAGCAGCTCACATGACAGACCCTCCAGAAGACAACAGCCCAGTCAGGACAATATGGACAGTACCATATTCTTTTCAACAGTAATCATTTCAGCCTAAAGAGAAAGGACTATTATGGTTCTGCTTCAGCCACGTTAGCATTAACTTAAAGCCTAAGAACTGTGGCTTATGTAGAAGCAGGGAGAAATTCCTTTATTTCCCTCACCAGGAAGAACAATGAGCTTCAGCCCAAATGCAACACCTTCTTCACTAATGGAACCTGAGCATCTCC